TGGATCTAGGCAAATACAACAATCTTCATTATCTTCGATCGCTTCTTTCAAGTATTTAGCTAGCAACTGCGCATTTTCAGGAGTTAAATCAAGTGAAGACTCAGCAGCTAATTTCAACCGTTCTTCTGCAAGCTTCCAATGATCGCAAATTTGTCGCATCCTCATTAAAATTTCCAATAAGGCAGCAGCACTACCCTATTTTTTTTTTTTAAAAAAAAAAAAACAATTATAAAATGATGAATTTTATGCGACGGTTGCGCAACAAAATCGATTAAGAATATGTACCCTTCCGCCAGAATTTTCTAGTTTACGGAAGCATTCCTTAGCGGTTTCGCTATGATTGAAAGACAGTTGTTATCATACTATAATGATTACTATAATGATTAAAGTATAAGTGATAAGTTTATATAATCGATCTTAACATACTCCATAAGATCGTATTTCTTTTTTTCTTCAGGAGTAAATTTGACTTTATGCAAATAAGAGGTAATCGGAGGAAGATCCAATATTGATCGACCTAATGTAAACATGATTGTAGTATGTTGAGTATAATTAACGGATATATTATATCCAAAATTTTCACATTTCACACGAATTACCGTTGAATTTCATGTCCTTAGTGCGTCTAAGACAAGTAGTACGGATTAAGCACTAAATGTTAGCAAAAGACATTAGCATAATAAGGCAAAAGTCAATTCAACAAACAGCTTGAACAAATCGTGAAATCTAACCGAAAGACGGTCAATACCGTCGAAATCCTAATAAATAGAATATATAAGTTATAAATATCTGGCAAATAGCATTAATGAATATTGTCAATTCCCCATACCCCTTTGCTGACAGGACGAGAAAAAACTCGAGTCCACAAGTCATAATCATGGAATGGTGTAATTTTCAAAAATTTAACCAGCGAATACTGTGTAATGTTTTAAAATAAAAATAAATTAATTTTTATTTAATAAATGTATAGGTGACAATCAAGCAAAAAAATCGCATTCACCATATCATTCAACTGATTCATAATTGGAGTACCACTGAGTACCCATCGACGTTCGGCATCTAAAGCACACGCAGCCTGACTTTGTTTTGTCATGTTTGTTCTAATAATATGCCCTTCATCAAGAACAACACGACGCCATTTTATCGCAAATAATCCTTTACGTTTATCTTTAACATTCGATGATGCGAGAACTTGATAGGTCTAAATATGTGAAAACAACGTTAAAAATCCCATTGTATGATAAGACAAACATAATTTCTATCGTAAAAGTATGTAATTACCGTAATCACGACATCATGGCTAGAGAGAAAGGACGCATCTGAATTTCGGTTCGGTCCATGGAAAACATAGAATGATAAGGCGCCAGGTTTCACATGAGTATTTATTTGATCGACCCTGAAATAAGGCATGTAATTTAAGAATAATGAAAATGGAAGTTTGTGGATTCAGATTTTAACAAGAAAAAATGATTACCAATTTCCTAGAATGCTCAATGGAGCTACATATAAAAATAATGATAATTAATTGTAATATTCAAATAAAATGTAAAGTCGATTCTACTTATTTCATAAATTATATGTTGTACTAAGTATATCAATATTTCATAAAGTAGAGGATATTGAAAAAAAGATAGATTTTATAATTTATGGAATTTATGGAAATATAGGGCCATCTTGTCATTTAACATACCGACAATTAAAGTAGTTTTAGAGTAATCTGAGCTAGTGGGTGAAGGTGTAGTAATAAAACCTTCTCCGTTGGTATCCGATACAATTAATGAAATTGTTTGTAACGTTTTACCAAGACCTTAACAAATTTAGGAGCATGTTAATTTTATTTCCGAATAAAATGTAATTAATCGACGCAACTTACCCATATCATCTAAAAATAGCAAAAACGCAAAGTTCAATATATTAATACAGAATCAAAAGTAGGATGTCAGGAATCAATTTAAACTAATATTTACCTGCAAGAATACCACCACGAGAAAATTCTGGTCGAGTTTGAGATGAATAACTAGTCGCAACATTATAGTAAAGGTTAGATCCTGATACTTTGCGCATAACCCAAAATTGCGTTGCCTTTTCTTCTGTCGGATCTTCAGGATGCTCGTGAGAAAGCATCCAACCGAGACCTTGCTTCTGATAAGGTAGAAGATTAGTGAGAAGTGCATCCGGTTGCGGTGCCTCCGGAAGTTTCTCCAAATCTGCGATAGATATTCCAATCTTTTCGAACGCCTCCTGTTTCTTTTTCATACTGATTTCTTGACCTCTACCAACCAAATCACGCCATGCTTCGTCAAACGTAGCTATTAACGAAAACAATTATATGTCAAACATAATATTTAATCGGAAAAAAAAAAACCTAAAATAACAAAATAAATACCTCGAGCAGCAGCCTCAGCTCTACTTTTCTTAGTTTGTCTTGGTTGTTTTGGAGACTCGACCGCAACTCCACGTTTTTTTAATGAGCTAGAAATCGATTCTTGAGAATGAGGTGACCCGTACACGTGTAGTTGGAGTGGGATGCTATAAGTACCACGGTTCCCGATTATGGTGGCTATACAAATTTTATAAGTTTCATACTCAAAACAAAAATCATGTATTAGATAAGATCGGATTATACCCTCAAGTTTAATTTCCCCTAATATATAAGATTAGATTAGATTATAAAACGAATAAAGACTGCAATCAATTATCAAACTATGTTTTAATAACAAACCATTATCGATCAAAGAAGCTATAGCAGCAGCAACTTCTTTAGGAATATGTCCAACCTAAAAATAAGATAAAGAATTGGTATTGTTTTCATTAATGGTAAATCGATCGAATTATACATACTTGAATACCCATAACATTGTCTACTCTAATTGCATTTTTATCATAAGGATTGTTTGGTTCACGTATTAGAGATACCTTTAAAATCAGCACAATCATTAAATTATATGATGCATAGCATTTTTAAAATTGTCTATTAAGATTTGTATGATTGAAGATTACCGCCTCTCCCTTGTTAACGATTCCATTATAATATTGAACGCCCACAATTCTAGTTCTAGCATTTCCATATAAAGTATAAGAATCATTTTCATTTTCATCATCATCTACATCATTTTCATTTTCTTCACGGAGTTCTTCACGATACGCATCCAAGTCAACATAAAATGGAGCGACGAAAACGCGCTCAGTGGTACCTTGACTTTGGGTAGACTCTGGTTGCGGTGTTACTTCAGAATTTAAGGGTTCGATTGGGATTGAAACAGAAGGGCCTGTAACGCTTTGAGTGTTTTTAAGCCATTCTGGTTCTTCAGAAGTAAAATCAGAAGAAGATTCTCTAGATTCTGAATTAGTAACTTTTTGACGCTTTGCAGAACTTTTTTTCCCTATTAGTTAAAATAAATATTATTATTAAAAATAAAATCGATCAGTGACACTTATAGATAACAATTATAAATCAACATTTATCAACATTTACCTTTCTCATTGCTACCTTCGCCTTTTGATGAGGGGTCAGGTTCAGTTTCAACAGATTTACCTTTATCCTCTCGTTTTCTCTTTGAATTTCTTTCATCGGATTCATCATTAACAGTCACGTCACTCGAATTTTTATCATTCAAATCATCATCTATTATATCTATCGTCGCCAATGGGCATCCATCAGAAGTATGAAGCGTATTGCCACAATGACAGCATGCAGCGGTCTTTTTTTTCACGCGTTTAGATTTTGGCATTATTGATACAAAAAAAAAAAGGTTGGCGTGTTTAGATTAAAATCTATCGTTTTGAGATCTGCAACCGCGTTAAAATATACGCGTATTCTGATGGATCATCACATGATTGCAAATATAGTAATACAAATTGGGGCTTAGAAGCGAATTTTTTCATTTGTAAATATCAACGATTATTAATCATTTTAATGCAAAATTTGGCATTGTGATAAAATTAGAACATTGCATAGCCCATGTATTATTATGATAACGAGAAAATCAATTAAATTCCTTTTAAAATTATATATTGCGCTCCACTTTTGTTATAGTGAAGTTTAATCAAACAGAGTTGGAAAATGATCTCTAAATGACCTAGATGAGCTAATTACTACTGTATATAGATCATTTGTCATTTTATACAGTATAATGACATTTACCGCTTGGATGACTCCATTAAATGACAAATGACTATAGACATTTAGTCATTTGTCATCTTGGTCATCGTAATTTTGAATGACTAGTCATTTCCCACTCTCAACCTCAGGGGATGTTAAAAGTCCGGTCCGGTCCAGTTCTGGTTACCTTAAAAAGTCTGGTCCATAACTAGTCAAGAACTAGTTCATAACCCCTGCCTGAAACCAGCCTAATCTTAGCAGTTCAATGTATAGAACAATAGTGAACGAGTATTGTGATTTTGTTCTATATAGTATTATAATCACATTTGGATCGACGTAAATAAGATCTTTTGAGATCACAAAATTATAGAACTTAGTTTCGAACTAGTCTAAGTCCAGTCCAAAACCCAGTCCGAACCAGTCCACTTAACATCCTGGATGCGTAATTTTAGCTATTTATATAACATTTTATATATCAGTCCGTAGTTTGAAGCATTTCTGAAATCTGTGCCAGGTTATGCATGTTGCCGATCATCATGTAAAATTTTTTAAAATTTTTAAAGTTCA